TTCAGACCACAGGCTATAACCCAGCCACAACTACTGTCAAGAAATTCCAATTTCATGCCAAATTAGAGAAGAATCCACAGCTCCTTAATAGCGTGAGGGTACAACTCAATTGCTCAAGCATCTCCCACAACAAACAGAACATTCTAGACCTCCGTGGAGTCTCAAGAGCCCAAAGGTCTTGATTCTAGTCTTGGCTTTTTCACTAACAGACTTTACAGATTTTGGAAAATCTTAATCCCCAAAATTCTTCAGGGATATAAAGTTGTACCTTCTAATTCCAAGTAACCAACAGAGACACACACTTCTGCGTCCCCTGTGTATTGTCTGACGCGGGCTCTGTCTGAGGCTGGACGTGTAGAGAATTAACACACACATGCACAAGCGTCCTGGGGGTGTTGGGTGCGCCCCTGCGTGGGGTGTGGACTGTGCAGATGTCAGGGGTCCCTACAGACAGAAGGAGCCTCCACAAACCTCTCCTGGCTCCACCCTCACCGATGCTGCTAGAAACGCCACTCACAGGATTGACCGCTGTGGCTGAAGAACGCGATCTCTCCAGTTATCCACAAACAGGGATCAGGGTGTCGTGCGAGTGAGTGATGGGGGCACTCCCAGACGCCAGCAGGAGCAGAAGCAGACCTGTTCCGTGGCGAGTCTGAGACGTGGCCACGGTCAGCAGGCCCAGCTGTGGCCGGACATGAGACCCAGGGCACACACGGCCCAGGGGCTTCACAGATAACAGTGGAAGGTCCCGGAGACTCTCCAGGGGGGTGGCTGGGCCTCCTCACAGGATCGACCAGTGGTGGGGGTGGCCAGCCTCCTCACAAGGTGACCCGCGGGGCGGCCAGTCTCTTCATAGGTCTGACCAGGGTGGGTGGACAGGTCTCCTCACAGTGGGGTGGCTGGCCTCCTCCCAGGATTGACCAGGGGGGTGGCCAGCCTCCTCCCAGGACTGACCAGCGGGGTGGAAAGGTCTCCTCACAGGACTGACCAGGGGGGTGGCCGGGCCTCCTCATAGGGCTGTGGGACTTGGGCTGGTACAGAGCAAATGGGAAAGGTCAGCCCCGGTGATGTCCACTGCACTGGGGGGGGGGGGTGGCTGAAGGAGCGGGTGGGCAGCACTGAGGCCCCGGATGCAGAAGAGCCACAAGAAGCCCTGCCACGGGCAAGGAAAGGAAGCCAGACACCAGAGCCCTCGTAAGGCTGAGAGGAGGTGTCTGCTGACAGGAGCAGGGCACGTTCCAACGTGGGACCAGAGATGACGAGAGTGCAGAGCCCACCAGAGTGCAGAGCTCACCATGGGTCATAAACAAGGGTGACGTGGGCTGAGGTAGACACATCCGTGGCTGGAGCTGGGCTCTCCTAGGTCGGGGGCCAGGGGACCCAGGGGCAGGAGTGGACTGAGGGGTTCCATAGAGACTAACAATTAGCCATAGAACAGAACAGTATCTTTAGGAAAAACTCAGAACCCAGAACAATGACTATCACTTAGAAGAGAAGGCTCCTGCAGGGCACAGGCTCCAAAATCAACAACAAGGATGCAGCCCCATCATCTCCCTCCCAGAGCACTTTCCACATATCGAGGCAGTCAGCTTCTTCTTCCACGTTCTCTCCCCTTCTGTCCAAGGACACCTATTTTTGCTACAAAGACACTTCACAGATCTGCTCTGTCACGAACACTACGTCCATTTTCTTACTTCAGAGTTCTCTAGAGATCTCAGCAAGAGACTTGCCAAAGAAGGCTGACTTCTCCTTGCCACCGAATACGGTAGACAGAGAACTGTGGGAGGCCTGGCTGGGTTCTTTCAAAGGAACATTGTCAGAAGGGTGAACACGAATTACCACTAGAATGACGGTGCTGGATCACACGCCCACCCCCACCCTCAACGTGGCTGAGTTAGCAGCTGAGGTATCAGTTGAAATTCAGCTTCTCAGATTGTGGAAAGCTTGGTGTAGAAGATGAGAGGATGGGATAGGACGGCTGGGAAAGAAGACAATTGGTCTAAAGAGTAAGGGTCCCATGGCTGGACTCCAACCCAGAGGAGGTGGGCTTGTCACTCATGTTCTGATGCAAATCAATGATCTGTTCCTTCAATACGTAAAGAGTTAAAAGTTGTTCATCCTCACTGGGGGGCATCAAAACTTTAAAATATAATAGGGCTTATATTCTTGTGTGCAACTTCAACCATTTATCCTTCTGTCCACCCACCCATCTATTGCCCCCCCCACCTATCCTCATCCACCCATCCATCCACCCAAGCATCATCATCCACCCATGACAAGAATTAGTGTTTTGCTCAAGGTCAGTCAGTGTAGAAGGTGGCACTAGATTTAAAGATTCTTCTACAACAGTTGTTCTCCAAGTGTAGCTGCTCGACTAGCACCATCAGCATCACCGGAGAACTTAAAAATGCACATTCTCAGGCCCCGCCCCGGACTTCCTGAATCAGAAACCCTGGGGGTAGGGCCCAGGAATCTGTGATGATTCTTTCCAGTGATTCTGATGCCCGTTTGAGGACCTCTGTTCCTCTGCATTCAGCAAATGCTTAAATCAACTAGATGCATTAGCATTTCTGCCTCAAATATTCCTTACTTTTTATCCAATTACTGCAAATCTAAAGAGAAAACCAAAATAATAAAAATGCTGGAAGAGGAGCCCTACCACCTAGGAGAAGAGCTTTTGCCACTGGAAAGTGATCCTGGCCTTGCGATTAAAGATCAGGCTCAAGGGCATATACAATGTCAATTCTCAAGGTCAAGAGACAGATTCCCAGACCCTACGGGCAGCATGCTTTATCTCCTTTACTGCAGACCAACCCAGACAATGAATGTTCTGGACGAGTGGAAGCAACATACAAATCGGAAGTTAAAATAAGACAGCAGCCTGTCCGGACCAACAGATGAAGATAAAATGCCTGTCAGTTCAGGGTGGAGCCACAAAGCATCCAGCCCTGTGCAGCTGAAAGAGCCACGAAGCCCTGTGAAAGGTCACTGACCCCAAGCCCTCCTCTGACCTCGTCCTATAGGAGTCAGGCCCCCTGCCCTGAATCACAACACCTGGTGCCAGCAGCCCACACCTGCCACTAATCCCAAATGACCCTGGAGGCACACAGCTCTCTCACCTCCAGGTAGAAGCCATTACGCTACAGACGGGGAGTTCCTGTGAGGACGTGTTTGGGATTCAGACCTGAGTTGGCAAGTAGGTTTACATCGACCTACATCTCTGTCCCCACAAGAGAATGTGCAACATGCCCCACGCTTGGCGGGTGGCGCTGTGTCAACACCGGAGGAGACACAGCCTGACCGCCCGCATCGTGTCACAGCCGCCCTTCAGCACGCCTCCCACGTAGCGAGCGTGAAGAGGAGCCCGTGCTGAAGCAGGAGGCAGTGTGGACGGGAGGATGCAGGGTCCTCTCCCCTAGCTAAAGGACACTGGGTATTCACAACGCGCGCACCTCCTGGCAGGGACTTAAGAGTCTTGCTGAAATCTGCAACTGCTGGTAGCACAGATGTGTCAGAGAACACTCGTCTGAGAGCTACTGCTTAGAACAAAGCTACAGTCAACAGGAAGGCCTGGCTCGCAGGACAGTTCACCGAGTGGTCAGTGTCTCCCTGCTCCTCAGAGAGAGCCTTTTACAATCCAAAATGCACAAGCGTCTTTGGGAGTGCGTGCAGAAACCTCGATCCCTGAAACCCAGGGAATGACATCACTCTTTGGACCGGTTCCCACTCTGTATTCCGACTCCAGGCCCAACGCAGAGGGTGTGAAGAGCAAGGGCCGGCCCCTCCCTCCCGGGCGCGTCTGCACCCCCGTGAATCTGCGGTGGGTCCTCCGCACCCTTCACTGCAGCCACACGCCGAGTCCTGCAGAAGCAAAACCGACTCGAGTTTCAGAAGAAGGGAGCTGCCTTTCTAAGAATAAGGGGCAGGATGGCACAAAACGGCTTTATTTTCTTTTGACTTATATACAATAAATCCAGCAGCTTTAATCAGAAAAATCACCATTAAAAACAGAATGTCTCTAAAGTCTCGGTGAGACCCTCACACACAGTGATGCTGATGCTGATTTAACCATCAGCTTTGCTCCCCAAATCCACTGGGGCCTCCCCTCACGAGAGAGAGAGAGGACACCACACCTAAACCCAAGGATGGGGAAATCTCATCTCCCCGGAAAGTATCACCCAGACAGTGAGGAAACAGCACACCACACAACGTACGGCAACAGCAGGCAAAAAGCTGGCCACTTACTTTTAATGATTTATGATTACTTCCTCTTCATTTCAAGGAAAACTAGTGAGCACCAACGGTTTTCCTCCTGCACAGTGCAGCATGAAGACTCAGATGTGACTAGTTGAAAGCCAACAGCTAGACACCACTGGCTCAGCGTTTTCTCAAATCTAAGTGAATCCACTCGAACGGCTCCTCAAAGCTCATTTTAAGTAATCTTTTAATTAACAGGGAAAACGAATGTCCAATTATGCTATTCTTCCAGTCTTTCCCACACCATTTTCAAACACTTGTCTTAGGTTTAAATTATCTTTGGTGGAGAAAAGAATCACCTGATTAATCCGTATTTTTCCTCCTCAAAATGACCTTCTGATAGCCCCCCACCCCTACACCAGGCTCTGAAAGCCCTTGGCTCAGCTTATTTTCAGTCCACAAAGATTTACGCTCCCTCCATTGCTACTGCTGCAGATGCAACCGAAATGCAGGCTGAGTGAGCAGATTTCAGACAAGGCTCCACACACACCTGGGTCCTCCAAGAAAGCCCGTGTCACCATCCGCAATTATTCTAGCTATCCTAGGCAGAATAAAACCATGCCGACCGTCCATGGAAACCTACCAGCTGCCAGACAAACACCCATCATATCCGCTCTTTCCTGTTATCACTGCTAGGGGAAAAAATGAAGGCTGTTATACAAAAATAAGACGCATTTCTCTCCGATTCAGCACATGATGCCAAGCTTAAGAACATATAATTCAGGGCTAGCAGCTCCTCCTACCAGTGCGCGTGGAAACCGCATTTAATCTCTGCACCATTTCCTCCAGGGCCATCTCTTCATTTCTCAGCCAAAACCTCATCCTCCGACAGAGCAGAAGGATCCTCCGCGGCTCGTCTCCTCTGCACCAGAGGTGCTCGCGGGGTGGGGCCGGGCGAGTGGGGAGGGGGCGCGCGGCGAGCCTGGGGGCCGGCAGCGCCTCCCTTCCCGGGATTGGTCCCGAGCCCGCCAAGGGGCGCGCCCTGCGAGGAGTGGGGGCTGCTCGGCGGAAGCGGAAGCGGCGCGCGCCCCGCGGGTCCCCCCGGCCACCTGGAAGCCCTGTGTGTGCACCCTGAGGTCACCTGGAACTCATGTGTGCACCCCCGAGGTCACCTGGGAGACCTGCGTGTGCACTCCCGCGGCCACCAGGGAGCTCCGAGTTTGCACCCACCGATCGCTTGACAATCCTGCGTGTGCACCCGGAGGGGACCTCGGCCCGCAGCGCTCCCCAGCGCAGAGGCGCAGCCGGGCGCACCCCTCCCAGCCCCGGGTCTCTGCGCCCTCCCGGAGAGGAGGGAGGAGCTGCGGGGGCGCGAGCCGAATCTGCCCGCCCCCCTTTACCTCCGGCCGCCCCTGGGCAGGTGCAGAGGCTGCAGCAGCCCGGCGCGCCCTCCCCGCGCCGCCGCATGCCGCCGCGGCCGCCCCAGGTCAGTGGGTCCCAGCGTCGGTGGTGGGTCCCGGGATGGCCGGGGTGGACCCGCCGCTCCTGGCAGTGACGCCGCCCGCCCTAGGATGCAGGGCTCGGTGAGGGAAGCGCGCGCCGCAGTCTCCGGCCCTCCGACCTCGCCGTGGTTGGCACGAAGCCACTCCATGCATTCTACACCTCAGCGCCCTGTGCATGCCAGTCATGCGTGTGCACGGCTATGGCTGTCACATCTGAGGACGTGCAAGAACACGTGTGCACAGTGGGCCCTGGGGGGGGCCACCCTCCTTACCTAGGGGGCTTGCCATCTTTTGTGGTTGGCATTACAGGCAGCATGCCCTTCCTTAGAGAAGGTGTCTTTCAGGAAGAAATGCCCATGTCCATAAATGGTTTGGGGAATTCAAGGCGCAGCTCATGTCAATGCAGCCTGTGAGCCAGCATCCCGGCTGGTGACTGTCAGGCACCAGGCTGGGCCCAGGGGGTAAAAAGAGGGAGGTGACACAGCATTTGCCCGCAGAGAGCTCATGGGCCTGGGGGCAGAAAGATCTGGAAACAGATCATTGCAACATGGAACAAAGGTGTAATAACCACACATGGAAAGTTGGGGTGAGACTAAGAAATTGCTGGGTTGTTGGTTTTTTTCACATCAAAACCCATTGGAGGGCCGGCCCCGTGGCTTAGCGGTTAAGTGCGTGCTCTCCGCTGCCGGCGGCCCGGGTTCGGATCCCGGGTGCGCACCGAGGCACCGCTCCTCCAGCCATGCTGAGGCCGCATCCCACATACAGCAACTAGAAGGATGTGCAGCTATGACAGACAACTATGTACTGGGGCTTTGGGGGAAAAATAAATAAATAAAATCTTTAAAAAAAAAAAAAAAAACCCATTGGATATCAGCAGTTTCATATGGTTCAAAGTAGAGCCCAACGAAAAAGGGGTCCGGAGAGGTGTCACCGCAGGGCAGACAGTGAGCCTCTCCCTGTGGACAGACACCCCGGGCTGCCCCTCGCTGAAGCAAACCCTGGCTGTGCCTACAGCCCCCTCCTATCACAGCCACCTGCCTCCGACCTGGGGGAAGGCCCGGCCCCTGACGAGCATCCAAAAACACAGGCCCTTCCCCCCAGAGTGAAGTGGGCGGCATCCACCTTCCCGCTGCTCCAAAGGCAACAACACCCTGGTCCTTGGCCAAAACCGGCCCCCAGGCCACGTTCCCTCAGGCCCCCACACACCTGGACAGGACATCCACCTCCTCCCACGCCGGCTTGCCCCACTGCCAGCGCCTAAGTGCACACAAGCAGCACTCAAACTCAAGGTGCACAAATCCCTGAGGGCTTGCTCACCTCAGGTGGCCAGGCCCACCCCACAGTTTCCCGGCCCGGAGGCCCGGGGGGCCCAGGCACGTGCATTTCTAGCGGGACACAGGGGATGCTGACGTGGCTGGTCCACACTCTGAGAACCCCTCGAGAGCCCCTCCCCTCTTTATACCAAAAGCAAACAAAGAAAACACAGGCCCTGCCCAAGTTGCTCTCGCTGACCCGTCCCCTTCATGGGCGAACATTCCACCCACACTCAGCCACTGTCCTCAGCCCTGGGCCATCCACTCTGTCCCCAAAACACCTCCAGCTGGTGCCGTTTCTGGGACCAAGCCGCTAACTGCAGTGCAGCTTCAGAGTTGAGTCTGCCAGCCTCTGTGCTGGTTGCTGGCACGTGTCAACGTGGCCAGGCCTCGGTGCCCAGGTGTTTGCTCAAACACCAGTGTGGGTGTTGCTTTGAGAGTATTTTGTAGACGTGATTAACATATAAATCAGCAGACTCTGAGTAAAGCGGCTCACCCTCCCCAATGTGGTGGGCCTCATCTAATCAGTTGAAGGCATGAAGAGAAAAAGACTGACTTCCCCCGAGGAAGAGGGAATTCTGTGCCAGACTGACTTCCGACTCGAGCTGCAACATCGGCTCTTCCTGGGTCTCCAGCCTACAGCCTGCCCTTCGGATTTCAAACTCACCAGCTCCCACAATCATGTGAGCCCGTCACTTAAAATAAATGGCCCCCACCGCTCTCTCTATCAAACCTTCATCTCTCCTTAATTATGGCACAGATAGTGCTATCTTTCTACAAAAAGCATTTCCTATCTGCCTACGTATAACAATCATAAGGCCATCCAACGTTTATGAGGACCCGCTGTGTCCCAGGGGCCCTCCTTAGCCCCTCACCTGGTGTGAACTGACTTAATCTTCACAAGGATCTGGGAGGCGGGCACTACTTTTACCCTGTTTTACAGAATAAGGCACAGGGAGGTCAGTAACTTGCCCAAGGTCACACAGCTGGTAAGCGGCAGAGGCAGGATTCACACCCAGATGTGTACAAACGCAGACCCAGAAAACAAGTGTTTGCTTCAGGGAAACGCTGTATCTCAGGTGGAGTGTCACCAAGTCCCTTACAGTTCAATAAGGGACAGTCAGGTAAGGTCCAAAGCCAGCACTGCACGGAGACTCTTAGCCCGAGTGTCCCAAGGGTCCATCGCAGCCTCGCCCCCTCCCAGAGGAGCTGGACACCACAGCAGGCCAGATGGCGTCCAGGTGGGAAGGCGGAAGGTAACGTGACACCTGGACACCAACACAGCCTCTTAGCAACCGTTACGAAAAGCCAGCCCTGAGAGGGAGGTGAACAACGGGAGAGCCGCAGGGTGTGCAGGCCGATTCCTGGGGAGAGACCGGGCATCCTGGGGGGCCGGCCCTCCTGAGACAGGTGAGGGAGCTTGGGGGAGCGCCACTTCAGGAGATCACGGGAGACGCGCAGCCAGGCCGGAGCGGCTGAACCTGGCCGTGGGAAGTGAGGACGCAGGCGTTGCCTGCTCTGCGTGTCCCACAGCCAGGGGGGCGAGGAAAGGGAGACTTGGAAATGGAGCTCTGAAGAAATCCCCAACCGTGCAGCACGACCTCACTCACCAGCCCTTGGGGAACCTCAGGAGGCACCCTGACCCCTGAATACCACTCCCTGGGCGCTGGGAGCCAGGCCCAGCTGGTTCCTGGTTCAGCTGGACAGGGCAGGCGCCTCCTGCCCTCATGGGTGTGACACCCCACATGGGGGCCCCCACGACCGGGACACGCATCCTGAGGGCAGGTGGGGAACAAGGCGCGTCAACGAGCACAGTCCCCCCCCTGGGGAGCTGGCGTGACGCTGTGTGACAGAGCCCAGGACACGGGCAGTGCTGTTCCCGCACGTGCACAGCGGTGTCCACAGACCCCAGGTTTGCAGCAGTGCCACTAACAGCAGAGGGGGGACTGAAACAGCGCCGTCCCATCGACCGTGGAACGAGTGGACATGGATAAATAAGCCATGCTGTGGCCACACAGCGGGAAGCGGGCAGCAGTAGAAACGAGTGTTTACATCAGTTGAGCTACAACAGGAAACTGCACAGAATACGTAAAACACGACCCCATGTATCCCCAATTCAGAAACAGGCCAAACTGGGCTGCACAGTTTCAGGGACACACAGTGTGGCCCCCACGCCCTCAGCTGGGAGGTGACAGCATCTGAGGGGAGAGGGCTCGGGGGCCAGGGACGTGGTGACCTCCCCTGAACAGGTGCAGGGTACAGGGTGTGGAATATGTTCTCCTTCCGAGTCTTAACCAGGTCACAGCACGTCTGCGTGATGAAGAGGAGCTGAAGGGGCTCTGCAGGATCCCTGAGAAGAGGAGCCGGAGGCCTGAGCCAGGGGGCCGGTCCCTGAAGACGGACTTCACAGGTAGGGTCAGGAGAGAGGTGAGGGGCCCGGAAGACAGGAGAAAACAGGGCACAGGACTTCAGTCCTCAAGATGGGGGGCAGCCCAGGACGGAGTGGACTTTGGAGATGCCACCGTCCCGCCACCAGACCACTGCTCTCAACCCAAACCCGGCACCTCACCTGGCTCTCAGACAACTTTGTTCTCCCGACTCTCTGGGCCCAGCAGCGCCCCCACCTGGCAGCCAGGATGATCCCCTGCCTGGGCCCCCAGCAGCTGCCTTTCCTCTAACCCAGAGCCAAAGATAGGGACAGACTATTCAGAAAACAAAAGGCAGGACTGACCCAGGATGCCCTGAGGGGCTGACGGCGAGAGGCCACTACACACCACTTACACACGTAAGAACGGGGTAAACTGTGCTCAACAATCTCCAGGGACATGCAAATCAACACCACAAGGAGATGTCACCTCACACCTGTCAGAATGGCTTTTATCAAAAAGACAAGAGATAACAAGTGTTGTCGAGGATGTGGAGAACAGGGAACCCTGGTGCACTGTTGGTGGGAATGTAAAGTGGTGCAGCCACTATGGAAAACAGTACGGAGGTTCCTCAAAAAATTAAAAATAGAACTACCACATGATCCAGCAATCCCACCTCTGGGTATTTATCTGAAGGAATGAAATCACTGTCTCAAAGAGATATCTGCACCCCCACGTTCATTGCAGCATTATTCACAACAGCCAAGACATGGAAACAACCTAAGTGTCCATTGTTGGATGAAGATGTGGTATATATATACACAATGGAATATCATTCA